TTATTGTGCATTGGTTTTTTTAACGAAATTCAAAAATATTCATCCATCCTGCACAAATAATTCAGATGTTAGAAATACATTAAAAAATTTAAATAACATGAATGCATACACGAATCAAAATGTAACGAAAAACGCGTGGCTACAAACACAATATCTAGAACGTAACAATAGTATGTATAATGAAGCGAAAAAACGTGAGAAGCTAAGTGACTTGATGATCTGGCTTTCGATAGTCTGTTGTATGTACTGTCTGTCATTAAAAGAATTTCCATTTCATTTTTTCAAAAATCACTTGAACGACACAAACGTTTTCACGCCCTTATTTTGTTACGCGTAACTACTGCATGAACAAGTAATAGGCTATGACGAAAAATCGAAGTGTGTTCCCGTTAGAAGTTTATCGAACTCGAACTTTGATGAATTTTTGTGAAACACTTTGATGGCAAGAATTCTAGAGAAAGTTCGTATAAAGTCCAACAAATATTTCACATTTAACATTACTAGTACATACTATTTAACAGCTGAGCCAGCAGACACCCGCCACGACACTTGTCGTGGATATTCTGCACACTGCACGCGTTTCAATACACAGCCAGGGCCGAATAACAGCACCGTGAATCCCAGGTAATAAAGTGCAAAGTATACCTGTATGATGTGTACGTATTCTGCATTAAAAGAGTATGCCAATTACGATTGAGGGCAAGAAACCGTACAACTTTATTTAAATCTAGCTTTTTTTTTACAAGTAGTAAAAATAAAAGTAAGGAAATCTCAATTCTATCAAACACGATTCCTTACGAATCCTTGCCGTAAAGTAGAAGTCGCATAATAAATTTATGAAAATAGACAGACTTAATCATATTAATAATTATATATGAATCTAAATTAGTTCTTAATTGAAACCATTTGTTTTGATCACTATTACTTATAATCAATATTGTATGGAAATTATTAAGTTAAAAATATGGAAAGTGTGTGACAATAATGTTGTCATAGCATAATACTAACTTATCAACACAAAAAATCAATTTTAAAATTGCCGCCTAGAAGGCGCTGTAGGGAAAAGAATTAATACAATTTAAACTTTCTCACTATTTGAGGTAACGTACATTTAAAAAATAACAGGTACACCAAGTATGCTTTTTAACCGTCGATGTATACTAAAAATCAATTTAACACAACGTCACTTGATTGTATGAAATGAGCTTGAAGTGCACGAACACGTAGATACAAAGGAGTTTCACGATAGAATGACCGCCCGTCAGTTATGAAAGAGGGGGAGAACGATGACGTAATATCGGATGATCAGAGGCGTCATGCGTCACATTATTTGTATGTAATATCACATGTGCATAAGTATGTACATATATATGTATACGAACATTTAATTAGAAAGAAATAATACATAATAAAATTATTTTCTTTAATTTGCTGTTATACAGTTAAAGAATCTGCAGATAAAAAGAAAATATTATCATGAATACTTCCTTTACAGTAAAACAATCAATTATTGAACATTTGAAATCCCATTTGTACAGATTTGAAAAGTTATAATTACTTGAAGTGATAATACTATTAAAATAATCGTAATCACGAAATGTTCTGAGTTATGTAAATTTTTAAGGAAATTTTCATGGTATGTGTGATAAGTTTCGCTCCTTTCATTTATCTATCTCTGCTGTATTTA